ACTCACCTCAGCCTCCCAAAGGCACGGGATTACAGGCTGAGCCACCGAGCCTGGCAACAAAGTCATTTCAAAATGAGGAGCAGTCCGTTCATCTAGAGAATGTGATCTTAAAAGTTTATTCACATGCCGGGCTCAGCATGAGTTTGACTCCAACTCAAATAAATAAATAAATGAATAATAAAATAAAATAAAATAAGCCGGGCTCGGTGGCTCAGCCTATAATCCCGTGCCTTTGGGAGGCTGAGGTGAGTGGATTGCCAGAGCCCGCGGGTTCGAGACCCGCCTGGGCAGCGAGACCTCATCTCTACGATAAATCAAAAAATCAGCCGGGCGTGGTAGCACATGCCTGTAATTCCGGCTACTCGGAAGGCTGAGGCAGAAGGATTGCCGGAGCCCAGCAGGTTGAGGTTGCGGTGGCTGGGAGTGGCCACTGCACTCCAGTCTGGGCGACAGAGTGAGACTCCAACTCAAAAAAAAAAGTTTATTCACATAACAACGGGACTTCAAAATATGTGAAGCAAAAACTGACAGACATACGAAGAGAAACAAATTCATAGTTGTAGTTGGATTTCAAGGGTCTTCTCTCAATAATTGATAAAACAAGTAGACAGGAATGATATCAGCATTGCTAAGGAAGGCCTGAACAACTTGGCAGGGCATGGGCTAAGACCTGTGCATGAGCAAGAGGATTGCCTGAGTCCAGGGATTTGAGACCAGCCTGGGTAACTTGGTGAGACTTCGTCCCTACAATAAATCAACACATTATTTGGGTGTGGTAATGTGTGCCTGCGGTTCCAGCTACTTGGAAGGCTGAGGTGGAAGAATCACCTGAGCCCAGTAGGTCGAGGCTGCAGTGACCATGAGCGTGAGCACTGCACTACAGCCTGAGTGACAGAGTAAGACTCTGACTCAAAAAAAAAAAAAAAAAGAAGATCTGAACAACTCTATCAACCCATTTGACCTATTTAAAATGTATAGAAGACTCAATGACAGCAGAATACTCATTATTTTAATGTGCACAAAGATCACTTACTATGTTCTGGGCCATTAAGCAGGTCTCAATAATTTTAAAATATTCAAGTTGTACAATGGAATGACATTAGAAATGAATAACAGAGCTCTAGTAAAGTCTTCAAATATTTAGAAACAAAAAAGCTTACTTCTAAATAACCCATGATATAATAGGAAAATTAGAAAGTATTTTGAACACATAAAAATAATATGTCCATATTTGTGGGGCAGAGCTAAAGCAGTACATGAGGGAAATTAGTAGCACTAAATGCTATATTAGACAAAATTGATATACATACAGTGGAATACTACTCAGCCTTATAAAAGAAGGAAATTCTATTATATATGACAACATAGATGAACCATGAAGACATTATACCAAGTGACATAAGCCAGTCACAGAAAGGTAAATACTGCATGATTCACAATATGAAGTATCTAAAACAATCAAATTCATAGATTCAAAGAGTGAAATAATGGTTGCTGGTGGCTAGAAGGAGAATGGGGAATTACTAATCAATGGGCATGAAGTTTCAAACAAGGTGAATAAGTTCCAGAGATCTGATATACAACATTGTATCTATAATCAACTATAATGCAATATACACTTAAAATTTTGTTAAGAAGGTAGATCCTATATTATGCTCTTACTACAATAAAATTAGAAAAAATATCTGGCTGGGTGTAGTGATTCACACCTGTAATCCCAGCACTTTGAGAGGCTGAGGCAGAAGCACTGTTTGGGCTCCAGAGTTCGAGACTGGCCTCATAGTGAGACCTCATCTCCGCAAAAAAAATAATTAAAAAATTAGCTGGTGTGGTGGTATGGCCCTGTAGCCCCAGCTACTTGGGAGACTAAGGCAGAAGGATCACCTAAGTCTGGTGTTCTAGGCTGCAGAGAGCCGGTTCATGCCACTGCACTCCAGCCTGGGAGAGAGAGTGAGACCCCCGCTCAAAAATAAAATAAAATTATTAAGCCACATAAGCTATTCCAGAAAATAGAAGAAGAGCAAATACTTTTCAACTCATTCTATGGGGACAGTAATACTCTGATACAAAAAATAAGAAAAAGACATTTCAGTGCAGAATTGACTTCCCTTTAAGATGAGTCAGTGTACAGGTTGAATATTCAAAATCCAAAATGCTCCAAAATCTGAAACTTTCTGAGCACCTACATGACTCTTAAAGGAAATGCTCAGTGGAGCATTTGGAACCTCAATTTTTTTGATTTGGGATGCTCAACTGGTAATATAATGCAAGTATTCCAAAATCTGAAATACTTCTGGTCCCAGGCATTCTGGAAAACAAATACTCAACCTGTGACTCTTAATATTAACAAACTAAAATAAAAAGACCATTCTCAATATATTCAGAAAAAGCATTTGAAAAATCCATATCCACTTTCAATAAAAATTCTCATCAAAGTAGTAATAGAAGGGAAATTCCTCAATCTGATAAAGGACAGATCTGTGGAAGAAATCTACAGCTAACATCACACCTAACTGTGAAAGACTGAATACTTTACGTTTTTTGGGTTTTTTTTGAGTTGGAGTTTCACTCTGTCGCCCAGACTGGAGTGCAGTGGCTGCTCCTGGCTACCGTAGCCTCGACCTGCTGGGCTCCTGCGATCCTTCCGCCTCAGCCTTCCAAGTAGCTGGAA